CATAAAAGTGTCAGCTTACATCAACATAATATATCAATTTTTAAGATACTGTTCTTTAAGCCTCAGGCAATAAATAATACAGAATTCGTAATATATTACAAGGGAAAATGAAACTCAAGAGAGAAAAATGGTTTGCTTACAGTCACAAGGTTCATAAATCACTGGTAATTAAATGAAAACTGCTGGTGTTTTTCTTGGTCCCAACGTGGAACCTTAACTACTCGTTTTTTCAAATAGGATTCTGGTTATAAAAACACAGATAAAGTAGGCAGCCATGAAGATACATGCTCACAATCCCTGCACAAAAAAAGGCTGAAACAGGAGAATCATGTAGTTTTTGAGGCCAGCCTGGGCTAAACAGAAATTAGAGTTACATCTGGGCTGTATAGGGAGACTGTCTCAAAAACATCAATGAAAGGAAAAAAGAGAGAACGTGGGGACAAGAGCCCACTCCAGTCATCCTTAGTACTTATACATTGCTTCTATTTTTTATAAGCCAGGCAGCAGTCCCAGCACTTGGGAGGCAGAGGCAGGCCATGTCTGTCAGTTTGAGACCAGCCTGATCTACAAGGCAAGTTCCAGGGCAGACAGGACTACACAGAGAAACCCTGTCTCGAGGAAAAAAGGAGAATTATATACTCTAAGTTAACCTTGCCACCTCCCTAAAATATATTTCTTCAAAATGTCTGTTATATGTGACAAAGATGAACCTTGAGAACAAACAGCTAAAATAATTTGCCTAAGAAAAACAAAAATTATACTATCTCACTTATATGAGATACCTAAAATAGAATGGTGGCTGTCAGGAACTAAGGAAGAAACCAGAAATACTAATTTAAAGCAATATGTTGAAGAAAACTGTGCCTGCCTAGGGTTAGCACACACTCAAAATATATCAGAGTCTGTCTCATGTAAGTGTTCTTACCACAATTAAAGACATAATCTGCCGGGCAGTGGTGGCGCACACCTTTAATCCCAGCACTTGGGGAGGCAGAGGCAGGTGGATTTCTGAGTTTGAAAGTTCTCGGCTAGCCTGGTCTACAGAATGAGTTCCAGGACAGCCAGGGCTACACAGAGAAACCCTGTCTCGAGGAAAAAAAAAAAAAAAAAAAAAAAAAAAAGCTTAGTATCTTGGGACAAGTTTTGCTCATCACAGTAACACTAGCACCCAATAACAGTTCCTTGAATAAAGGAGGTGATTAATAAATCAGTTTCAAAAATGAAGAATGGAAGGGGCTGGACATAGATCAGTTGGTAATGTCTAGCATGCAAGAAGCCCTGGCGCGCGCGCGCGCACACACGCGCACACACGCACACGCACACGCACACACACACGCACACACACACACACACACACACACACACACACACACACAAAGAGAGAGAGACATACATGAAGGAAGGTGACGAAGCAAACACACATAACACAGAAAAAAATGTATTTTATCTTAAGGACTTTTTTCTCAAAACCAATTATATCGTCAAACTAGCAGAAAGCTCATGGAACTCCAGCACACAGTGAAAGGCACGGCACCTACTCAGACTTCACGCCTTTGGCAGTGAGAGGAATTTACTTCTGGAAAAAACTGTACAATTATTACACTCTTTTTTCTATGGAATTATCTAGTCTACCTTTTTCTACTAACTCTGAAAACAAAAAGTTAACCCAACATTGAAATTCCTTTAATTAAAAAGTCATGATTTACACGCAATGTCACAAAAGGCAGTGAAGGAAATGTTGGAAATTCCGTGCGCGTGCACATGCATGCGCATGCTGAATGTCTTCCTCAATTACTCCCCACCTTAGTTTTTGACCCCCGGATCTCTCACTGAACCTGGAGCTCATTGACTGGCTACAATGGCTGGACATCAAGTTCTCAGAACTCTCTTGTCTCTGGCTCCCCAGTGCTAGAGCCACAGGCCCATGCTCTATGCCAGGCCTTTTTACGGAGATTCTGGGGATGTGAATGTACATTCTCATGCTCGGGCAGCCAGACAGAAACTGGAAGTAACTTTGGAACACAAAGGAAACATCACAAGACACTCTCAGATTAAAGCAGATGGATCTAGCACGTAACACAGAGGGCCGTGTAGTCTCAACCACGCCACACTGAAAGGTGCCAGAACCTCTGAGAACTGTTGGAGGTTTTTAAAGTCACTACAACAAGCCCTTGACAACAACTAAGGGATCCCAGGCCCCGTCCTGTTCCTTCCTACCCTGGTAATGAGACATGCAGTGTCACTCAAGGCCTCCTGCAATGACTGCTACCTCCATACAGCCCAAGCAAAGAGGCTGAAGTCTCTGAAACTCTAAACCAGAACAAACCTAAGGCTGGGCATGGTGGTGTATACCTCTATCTCAGCATTCAGAGGCTGATGCAAAAGGATCATAGCAATCTCTAGGCCATACTGAGCTACAGTCAAAACTGAGCTACAGTTTTTATTTTCTCAAAAATAAAAACCAAAACAGATTTAAAAGTCAAAGTAAATACTTAACTCTCTATAGGCTACCTCAGGTAATTTATTATAGTGACAAAAAGTTGACCAAGCTACAGGATGAAGTGAGTGGAGAGATTCTGTGAAACAATTTGTTGGTTAAAAACACAGCAAATAAATACAGTGTTTTGCTGTCATATAAATCCTAACCATCTGGCACTCCAAGCCCTATAATGTCAGAGGTATACTCTACTACATCTGCTTCTCTTCCGTGAAAGTCTAAACACACCGAATAGTCAAATAATTTATAAAGCATATCTAAAGAAATACTCTCTAAAATATATGACCTTGGTGCATATTTATAAGTAACAGTACTGTTTATCAAAACAATAGTACCAACACATAGGTACTTCAATGTTGACTATAACCATTAGTTTTTATAATTTTTCAAATTAGTGAACAATTCTTGACAAAGTTCTGCATGATGTGATAATCTCCCTAGATGGATACATGTGATAAACCAATGCACTGAGGGTTTCAATTGATGGTTTTATGTGTCATGTCTTTTTGCCTTGAATCTTGGTAATAATCTTTCCCACTACTTCTGGGAAACATCATTCTGAATAATAATGGGTAGGACGACGAGTAATCTAAAGTAAACCACTCCAAGCATGGCCTTTTGCAGTTAACATGTACACATCTGTAATATGTGTGTGTAATACAAGATTAAAGTGTATGTCCATATGGTTGTACACAGATGCTTCCATTATATGAATGTCTGAGTCACTGTATACAGCACATGGCATGCAGGTCAGTTCTGTTCACTACAAGTTATCTATCATCCACGGTGGTTTCTAGATTAAATTAGCAATGTTTTCCAATAGTGATAACAATCTAACACATCTCCCAGCACACTGAAACTTTAAGAAGATGGTGAAGCAGTGGGAGAAGATCTAAAAATGCTGCCAAACCCAACATACTTTCTGACTTCCTAATTAAGCAGCACTCATCTCCAGACATAAATCTATTCATGTATAAGAGATATGACACCGACATTTTAATCCTAAATGTATGTGTGTAAGTATGGTACCTTTTTTAAAGATAGGAGGAGGGCCAGGCAGACAAAAGAAGGCATCAGAGCTCTTGGAGCTGGAGTTATATGAGTTGGCTGACTTGGGTGCTAGAAACTGAACTAAAGTCCCAGTAAGGAAGAGCAGGTGCTCTTGAATGGTGAGCCATGTTGTCCAGCTTTGTAGCTTCCTATATTATACTCAAGTCATCTACTAACTCAAAATAGCCTATCACTGGCAAAACTGGGAAACCTTAAAGTGTGCTCTATTCTCTAAATATGTATTTTAGAAAATTTCACAATTGTGAATTTATTCGACATTTTAGAAACAAAAATATGTGTATCATACTAGGCAAATAATTTTATTCCATTTTGGTTTTTAGTGATTTTCATGCAGCCCAGGCTGGCCCAGAACTTGCTATGTAACCAAGGATAACCTTGAGTTTTAATCCTCTTGCCTCTCTCTCTAAGTACCGGGATTACACATGTCCAACAATGGTTGGTTAGGCAAATTATTTTAAATAATGATTCTGAAGCATTGGGAAGAAAGATTATAGTAAACTTATAAACATTTTCTAATAAGTAAGAGGTGACTAAAACCAATAAAATCTTAACATTCAGCCTCTTCTGTCTCTAAGGTTATCACAGATATGTAACCAAATAGTACACCTGAAGTCCTACTGTGTTCCTAGAAAGAAGGCTTTTCCTGTGAAATAAAAATGTTTCCTATCCATCAACTGAGCTGAGCTGACCAGATCTACTTAACGTTACCAAGACTAAAAAAGCATTCCCACTGGGCATAGTAGTGCATGCCTTTGATTCCAGGCTAGTGGACCTCTGAGTTCAAGGCCAGCCTGGTCTACAGAGTAGTTCTGGGACAGCCAGGGCTATATAGTGAAACCCCGTCTCAAAACCTTCCCCCTAAAACAAAAGAAAACAGAAAAAGCAATCCTATACTTTTCTATTAATTTCACCCATTTTTAAAACAATAGATCACTGCTTTTATTAGCAACAAACCTCAAATCTAAAACTAAATAAGCAAACAGCACGGATTCCTGGAAACCCATGAGAGGTCATAGAAACCAGTTCCCCTCCAAAGCCTTTGCTAGCTCCCTCTGCTAAGCACCTGCTAAGCATTAAGCATCATATACACATACTGAGACAGCCTCAAGTGAAAGGTCATCACAGAGCATGCTCACAAGCTTAGCACCATATTACAGAGCTGGCTCTTCTTCCTCCCTTGAGATACAACACATCCACCAAATACGCTTTCTACAGCCAACACTGCTAAGTTTTATATACCTATGTTTTACTTCAGAACTACAGTAAATCACTTAGGCATTAATCCCAAATGCATTATCAAATAAGAACTTTCAAAAATATCTAAATATGGAATACAAGAATTAACATTGAGACAAGAAACTCATCATTTTAAGCAACTTATTAAATCACATTAAAATGAATGCAACATATTTGAAAATTGCAAAATACTTACTTCATTTCCATGTTTTTGCAGGAATTCAATTTCCTGTTGTGTAAATGTTGTCATGGAGATAGATTTCACCCTGTGAGGTGGATTTAACCCTCTCCTAAAAGATAAAATATTTTACAAATTTTACTACTCTCTATTTTTAAATTATTCTACTTATTAAAAAACAAGTATTTTCATTCTAGAAATAAAAGTATTAAATATTAAACTATTGCTTATCATAGAGGTACAGTAAATGTAGTTAGAATCCAGTAAATGTAGTAGAATCCAGGCGGTGGTGGCGCACGCCTTTAATCCCAGCACTTGGGAGGCAAAGGCAGGCGGATTTTGAGTTCAAGGCCAGCCTGGTCTACAGAGTGAGTTCCAGGACAGCCAGGACTACACAGAGAAACCCTGTCTCGAAAAAACCACACACACACACTCACACACAAAGACTCCAGAGTACTAGTATTCAAGATAAATCTGAACAACTACCCAGAAGGAACAAGCAGTACCTCTAACACACTAGCTTCTGGAAAAAGTATTACCATAAGCATCTGTGTAGACAAAAGACTCTATGGAAGAGCACTATGGTAAAGAACTTTGTAACTCCTTCCATATTCTTATGAGGCCCTAAGAAAGAGCTAATGATGTGCTCAGATGTGTGAACCGAATGAACACTGTATGGAAAATGACAAAGGAAATCTGAGGTGATTCATCAGTTTGAATAAAGTCCCATCTCCCTGTCTGTTGGCGCATGGTCCATGAACAAAGTAGATTTTCAAGACCTTGTGAGAAAACTTCAGGGAAAAAAAAAAACTTTATTCCTCCAAAACATGGATTCGTTCTTGGAATTCGCTTTCACACCCCTCCTAGATGTAATAATAGGAGTGGTTTACTTTAGATTACCCATCATCTTACCCATTATTATTCAGAATGATGTTTGCAAGCACAATATATTGTATTGGGATTGTATATAGCCTAGACTTCTGTGACCTTGCCTTTCTGACTGTATACAACTTGAACTCAAGGGAACTATGCTCGAATGACCTTGTTTAATCTTCAGAATGCCCTGAGAACATCAACTGTTTGGTGCTCTGAATGAAAGCGGCTATTGCAGAGACTGCACTGCACTTCACTTTTAGACTCTACTCTCCCAGACTCACTCCACCAACTAGAATAGTAATACCCAGCAATTCAAATAAGGGTTTATAAAGAAAGACTTTTTTAAATTTCTTTTTTTAAATGATTGATTTATTTATTTTATGTATATGAGTACATCATTGCTCTCTTCAGACACACCAGAAGAGGGCATCAGATCCCATTACAGATGGTTGTGAGCCACCACGTGGTTGCTGGGAATTGAACTCAGAACCTCTGGAAGAGCAGTCAGTGCTCTTAACCACTGAGCCATCTTTCCAGCCCCAAAAAGACATTTTTTGATTACCTCAATAAGCAGTAAATGTTCAAGACCAAGCCTAGCCAGGTGTGCTTTAATCCCAGGACTTGGAAGGCAGAGGTAGGCAGATCTCTTGAGTTCAAGGCTAGTCTGTTCGACAGGAGTTCCAGGACAGCCAGGGCTGTTTGTTACACAGAGAAACAAACAAATGAAAAACCAATAAGAAGCAGCAGCCTTGAAGATCATAGAGAATAGACTCAAGAGACAGCTAGATCCAGAAATCTACACTTAAAATTAAATTGTACAGTTAATTGTACAATTAAAATTTATAAGCTAAGAAGCAGGCGGATTTCTGAGTTCGAGAGTTCGAGGCTAGCCTGGTCTACAGAGTGAGTTCCAGGACAGGGCTACATAGAGAAACCCTGTCTCAAAAAAAACAAACCAAAAAAACAACAACAACAAGCTTATAATCTAGTCCTTCTCTATATATGGATGGCTTCAAGAAAACTGAATAAAAATGTACTGAGAATTTTGCACCTAAAAGCACCCAGTGGCTTATCTATCTATCAAATCCAGGCTAAAGAATCCAAGCAATGTTCCATCAAATTACTCTAAGACCTTATTTAGAGTCCAGTTTCCAAGCTATAAATAAATATACAAGTGTAAGGTGCATAAGTGCATGTGAATACACACACACACACACACACACACACACACACACGTACAAATTTAAGTTTAAAAACAAAGGGCCAGGTAGAAGGTTCGGCATTTACTACTGTCCTCATCGAGGACCCAGGACCTATTGCCAGCACCAACACAGAGACTCACAACTGCCTGTAACTCAATTCCATGGGGAGTTGACTCTTTTCTGGCTTCCAAGGGCTCCTACACACAAAAAAATCACACAGGCATATGTACATACAATAAATGAACAAAAAGGACATCTTTAAAAGGTTAAAATGTGGCTGGCTGACATGCTGACGTGGCAGGGAAAGGCACTGATGATCAGAGCTCACTTCCTAGAATCCACATGACGAGAACAGCTGCCTCCCACCAGCTGTTCTCCAACCTCCACATATGTGCTTGTCGCACCCAGACCTACACATGTACACAAAGTAAATGTTAAAGAACCTGAAGAATAAAAACCAGCATCAGCAGCAAATAACCAAGAATGAACTAACTATATCATTCAATGCAACTGGACAGAAAAATATGTTCATGTTTAAAACAAAAGAAAGGAAACATACAAAGCACCTAAACGGGCAATTAGCATATTTAATCCTGACTTAACTGTACTGTGTGACCGACAAGGTAGTCTTTTGGCTCTGTTTACTTTTCTCTGTATTAATGTGCATATATGTGTGCTGGGGTTATGTAGATGCCAGGGAGGCCAGAAGAGGGCGTAGGATTCCCTAGAGCTGGAGTTAGGTCAGAGTGAGGGGCTGTGTGAGTGCTGGGACCTAAAGTCAGGCCACAGGCAGGAGCAGTCCAGGCTTGGTAAAGCCATGTCTCCAGGAAGTGAGAGGAGATGGAACAGCTTTCAAATCCCAGTTTTCTGAAATGAAAGCCTATAATGTGTAAGCTAAATTTTCAGCAAGCCAGTTAAAAAGCAGATTACACACAGAACAAAGGCCAGGAGTGGTAGTGTATGTCTTTAAGCCCAGAGCTCAGAAGGCAGAAGACGATAGATTTCTGTGAGTTTGAGACCAGCCTGGTCTACAGAGTTTTAGTACAGCCAGGGCTACATGAGACTCTGCCCCCTTCCCCAATCAGTCAACCAACCAATCAAAATAAAATTTCTAAATAGAAAATTCATGAACTGGAAGGCAGAAAACAGATAAAGCCAGCAAGCAACATAAAGACAGAAGGAAGGGCCGGGTGGTGGTGGCGCACGCCTTTAATCCCAGCACTTGGGAGGCAGAGGCAGGCCAAAAACTATACAAAAAGTTCTAGAGATGCAAAAGAACAAGCATAGACCCCCCCAGACAAAGGCAAATCTAAACATACAATGTCAACTTGTAACCATAAAAGGAATTTTTAGCAATAAAAATACTTGAGAAAATTTTGTATTTTCAATAACTATATATTATCAAATTAAAATACTTATTAATCCCAGAATGTTAGTGTGAATAACATAGTTTCAACAGTGATTAACAAGTATGGAATTTGCAGTTTCCAAAACCAGTAGGAAGAGAAAATCAGAACAAGCCTGTTAATTTTTTAATAATGTCAGACATATATACCCTTGCTATATAAACCTTATAGTAAAAGTCACAAGTGAAATATAAATCTGTATTTGTCCCCAAACTTGTCTTTTGTTTATACCTTCTCTATTCATATACAACAGAAATTAGAAACAATACAATTGCCTCTCAAACGAAAAACTGTTTTGTTTTGCTTGTTTGTTTGTTATAAGACAATGAAATATGGTGAAATAAAGGGGCTGGAGAGATGGCTCAGACGTTGAGAGCACTGGCTACTTGCTATTCCAGAGATCCTGAGTTTAATTTCCAGCAAGCACATTGGTAGCTCACGACTATCTTTAATGGGATCCAATGCCTTCTTCTGGTGTGTCTGAAGACAGCTACAGTGCACTCATATAAATGAAATAAATAAATTTTTTTAAAAAAATAATTAAAAGGGGCAAGCTACTGCAAGCAGCAAGTTTAGATTAATCTTACAGGTACGGTGAGTAACAGTGAGCAATCGGAAAAGCTGGTTCCATCCACATGCCATTCCCAGAAAGGCAAAGACTGTAGTGTAGAGAATCACAGATTCCAGTCAGGGATAGAAAAATCCTAACAGTTTTACAAGGTGATGGGACACCTCTGTTCTGAGGTGGTAATTACAAGAAAGAAAAAAAGAAAGTATGTGTGTGAGAGAGAGACACAGACAGACAGACAGACAGACAGACATCTTGAGACTGATTCGTAGAACTGTTATGTCTGAAGTTGTTGTGGGTTGTTTGTTTTTCCTGTGCCTAAAATTCATTCTGTGGCCTGCTGGCCTTAAGCTCCTGATCCTTCTGCCTTCACTTCCCAAGCGGCTGGGATTCCAGGTGTGCACCACCATGCCCAGGTGTGCACCACCATGCCCAGCTGGCAAAATGGGTTCTCTATCAAATGTAATCTCTTAAATAAACAGAATCCTTAGTGGATCACAACTGACATATTCTTAGCATGTACTCCTGCAGACTGATGCCTTGTGTGCTCATGCTAGTCTGCTTACCACATGAATACAGTTCATTATAAGGACATGAGTCATACTATCTATCTGATCAAAGTATTGGGCAAATAAATCACATCATTTCCTTCAGAGTCAATACTAAAGTACTGTCCACCCTGAACTCTAAATATACACACTGAGTCTCCAAATTTGGGCCAATATTTTTTGCCTCATTTAGTAACTGGAGTATTTGTATTTTGAAAGCATGTATGCCAGTTTATTGGCTTTAAGTTCCAAAGTAACCTGCCAATTCAGCCCAGTATGTTTCTGTAGCATAATTAAGTCATATACAGATCCCCAGGAGTTTTGTTTTAATGACCACCACCCAGGTACAACTGTAACCAGATGGTGTGACTCACACATATGTCTGCCAGTATGCTCCTAACTAGCCTCAATGTCGCAAACAGTCATTTGTTCAATTCAAATACCAATCTGTGCTGGATGAGTAAGAAAGCTCACTTGGTTGATTTTATTAATTGTTTTTCTCCTGCTGAGGG